AGAGAATATAGATGAAATTTTAAGTAAGTACCTCAATATTTTTTAAAGTACGCTGTATTGTGTTTACGCAAGCACAGTAAAAGCTCAGTTACCTAGTATAGTTGAAAAATTGACATTTGGATTAATTCCATAGCTGACTGTATGAACAAAATACTTTTGGTTTTCATCTTTAGTAAAATTTCTTAAAATGTGTATGTTTACTGTGTAAATAAGAAAATTTATAAACATTTAGTTTTGTTTCTTTCTCTTGTTATAGATACCACTCTTAATAACTCGTAAAATATTTTGCTGAAGCCTGGTTAGAAGCCAGCAGTTCCCACTGTGCAGTACTGATTTTTATACTGACCTTGGGACATAGCCTAGACATTTTTTTGTCTTTTTTATTCTAGCTAAATCACCTGCTTTAGTCTCATTATTGCCATTTGGCCAAGTAAAGTCAATAAATGTTTTACTGAATGATTTATTTGCTGAAAATGTGATTGTAGATATAATTAACTTAGGGAGAGATTTCTTGTTTTTAAAAATAGTACAGTGAAGATGAAGACATGGTTGATAGAAAATTTACAACTTATAAGCTTTAAAAAATATACAATGTGTATACTTTTTTTGTTTTTTTTACCCACTGGTTTGAGCATAATAAAACCAAAAGTAATAGTGTTAAAAGGAGTTATAACCTTCACTGGGCATCATATATTGTTTTGTGTTCTTGGAATTGGTATTCACTGCTAAAAAGTCTATTCCCACCTTATGGAATCTCTAGATCAGTGGTTCTATACAGTGTAGCGTGCATCAGAATCACCCGTGGAGCTTATTAATATCATACTGCTGGGCCACATCCCCAGTTTCTAAGGGTATTGCTAGGCCCCACCCAAAAATTTACATTTCTTTAAGTTCCTAGGTGATGCTGATGCTTCTGATTCAGGGACCATACTTTTTGAACCACTGCTTTAGAGTAAGTAAGCAAGTGGATAAAAGGTGCTTTGAAGGTAAAAAAGGAAGAAGGGAATTGAAACTCACATACCATTTTAACTCCTTTTATCTTCCAACTTCTAGAATATCTTTTTGTTTAATTTTGGTGACTATTTCAGGAGTTTATTTAAGTTTCTCTGAATTAGGTTTAGGCAAATGTAATGGAGCTACATCTTTCTCATGTTTTCACATCCCGATATACAAGTGATAGTAAGTTATTTTTGCAACAAAGAAATGGGTAGGAACCAGAAAAAGTACATGTCTGCAAGACTGTTGTAGATTACTTGTTGCAGTGAGGTGGGACATATGAGATGTAGAAATAGCTTAGTTATACAGGTCTCTTATGTGAAATAGAATTTTACTTGCAGAGCCGATTCTCAGTTATTCATGGAAATGGAAGATTAACAAATGGGTCATTAAAATCTAGATCATTCCAAAATTCATTACAAACTTTGAGTTACTCTCTGCCATTACACTTTTTATGAGAGTAAACTATTGAGTAACTCACTTGCCTGATCTTAGTTTGATTTCTCATTTGTTTTATATTCTTTTAATATGCAATGAATGTGTAAAATGGAGGATTTTATATATGCAGTCCAGGACTCTATATATGGGTTTTTGAGTGAGAGGTAATTTAATTGTTATTGTGTAATTTTAGTGGGCCCTTGTAATGGGAAAAGAGCATGATGAAAACCCTATCTTCAGTTATGTCAAAATTATGTGTAATTACAAATAACTTTGGTTGTTTGGTTTTGTTTTTCAATTTCAGACAATGCTGATGTTGCTTTAGTAAATTTTTATGCTGACTGGTAAGTAATAATCTCTGTGCTTTTGTTTTTGCATCATTTAAGATATTTTTTAGCTTGCTACATGTGAATTTTTCCTTGCTATAAAGGAGTGAATGGGGAAGCATTTTTCTATTGCAAGACAATATTCCATAGACCAGATTCCACAGACAAAATCAGTTTAAGCTCATTCACAGTAAAACAGCTTAATTTGGTAAAGTTTTGTATTTTAAGAGAGAACTATAACTGATTCCATTCTCCCACATCTAAACTAGTAAAAGCAGGTAACATAAAAACCCAAATAAAACAAAAAATTCTTTTTTAAAAATACACATTGCAATTCTGTATTTTTCTTGAGTGAGGAAGTTAGACAGGGTTTGGAGGTGAGGATTTGGGTGTGGCAAGTTTAGAAGGAAAAATACTATAGATAAGTTTTCAACTCATAGCATCTACTACCTCTTCCAGGAAGCCTTTACTCCATCCCTAGGCTAAATCAGATTCTATTTTCTGTGTTCACATAGTACCCCTTTCTTTGTCTTACTACATTGTTTTATTTTTTATCTTATTTGTTCATGTCCAAGCAACAAAACTTTGAGGACAGATAATATATTACTTAGTATTCCCAGCATTTAGAGCAAGGACTTGGTATATAGATGTTCAGTGAATGTGGCACAGAGATAGGAGGAAGGGAACTTCAGCTGGAGAGAAGTTTCAAACATTCGTGTAATCTTTATTCCTGGACAATCTGTACCTAATTTGACCCTTCTAGGTTTACCTCCTACTAGCTGCCACTACGGTGCTTCAGGCCACGGTCCCACAACGTCACTAGATTCCTGCAACAGTCTCCTAACTTTCTGTGCCTGTAGTCTTACATGTCTCCAATCTGTTTTCGACAACGTAAGCCAGAGTGGTCTTTCCTAAGAGCAAATCAGATTAGTTTACACCCCATCTTTAAACCCTTAAATAGTGTTCTATTACCTTTAGGTTAAAATTCAAGTCCCTTACCTTGGCGTAGAAGGCCCCTCATGCCCTGTTTCCTGCTTAACTCTACGGCTGTATCTCTCTCTACTCCCACATTCTGCTCCTATTATACTTCTTTCAATTCCTGTAATATTCTGTACTTTTTTCATCACTACATCTCTAGTCATATTTCCTCTGCCTGGATGGATCACTGTTCTCTCACCCATGTCTTTACCTAGTTAAGTCCTAATCATCTTTCAAGTCTTAGATTAGATAACACTTTCTCCAGGTCGCCTTCCTTGATCAGTGCCCCATCTCCCTTTCCAGTCAAGTTAGGAACTCTTCTTATATCTTCCTGTAACACCCCTTAGTTACCCAATCATAGCACTTGTATGCTGTAGTTTAGTTGGTGGCTCCCTACTACATTGTTAGTTTTCTGAAAAGTTACCATATCTTTTTCAAAAGTAAACCCCAAGCACTTTAGATAAAACAAAAACAAAAATAAAACCAAACCCATTGCCAGTGAGACAATTCCGAGTTATAGCAACCCTATCGGACAGAGCAGAACTGCCCTATAGTGTTTCCAAGGAGTGGCTGGTGGATTCAAACTGCCGACTTTTGGTTAGCAGCTGAACGCTTAACCACTGCACCATTAATACTTGACAAATAAGTACATAATAAATATTTACTTGATGAATGAATATGTGTATGGTATGGGTATTTAAAGAACCTTAGTAAAAAGTTGAAGATAATATAGAGAAAATACCATTTATAAAATGTGTAAGAAAGGTAACATTTTCCAATGTAAATTAGGATTGTCCAAATATAATATTAGCCGTACAATTTGGTAGAAGATTATCTAGTCCAGTCTTTCACTTTAAAAACTAAGAAAATTGAGATGTAGAGGAATAAAGTGGTTTCCCAAGTTTATCTGACAAGATTGTGGCACAGTAAAACTAGAATGCAGTTCTTTTGACTGAGGGATTTTGTGTGTTGTAAGAAAGAGAAATTGAACATGCTACCACCCTTGTTGCAAAAACTGGACTGGAAGTGTGGACTATTTGCAGTTATTTGGGAAAACATATTACCCAAAGAATACCTTGAGTTGTTCATGGATTAGCATTCTTTTATTCAACTGAAGACACTTAGGTAATTGGCTGTAGGACACAGCCTTGTATTTATAGCCTCAAAGACTAGATCCTGAGTTCCCTCTGGAATTATGAACATGGCACAGCTTAAGGAAGAATTTTGTAATAGAGCTGCCAAAAATAGTGATATGCTTCAGAGTGTAATAAACCATAGTAGATCCTTATTAATGCTGTCATGTGCCAGGTTCTTTACAAACATTGTTTTTAATGCTCAGAACTATCCTGCAGGTAGGTATTATAATTTCCATTTTAGGTTGAGGAAATTGAGTCTCAGAAAGGCCATATAGCTAGTAAGTGGTGGAACTGGGATTTAAACTCAGGTATGTTTGACTCCAAAGCTTATTTTTTCCCCACTAGGTCATACTAGTAAATGCCCCAAAAGTGTCTCTGCAAAGACTTGCGCCTGTAGGTGATTTGTAAAGGGTTGATTCAAGCACTAGATTGGTGATTGGGCTCAGATGATCCTTAAGGCCCTTTTAATAAGTCCGTTGCCTCTGTGACTTTAGTTTTATAAATGTAATGTTTCCAAATGTTTGGACACATGTATATGAAGGTACCGTAATATTGGAATTGAACTTTTATTTCATCTTCCCCTTTTACCTTTTGGTATTAAAACTGATTCTATTTTAAACTTGAACTTGTACTTAAATGCTTACTGGGCAGCAAACTAGATAATCCAGAAAGAAGGAGTCCTTGATGTGTGTCTTTACCTTGCCCTTAAGCCAGGAGACAGTCACTGATTCTTTACTATGCCACATCCTGGTTCATCAAACAACCATTGATCAGTCCTTCCCCTCTTGCTGCCCCCATGCCCTCTAGCACCGTATTTTTAGCAAACTGTAAGAACTCACAAACCTGTGGTCCTAGCCTCTGCAGTTCTTCCATTCTATCACCTTTTTAATTTAATAGACATCTATTGAATGCTTGTTAGAATATGTAGTCAAATAAGACACGGTCCCTGATGTCCACAGACCCCACCCACCTATCCCAGATGGGAGAGATTTAAGAATGCTAAAAGAGGAAAGAGCCACTTGAAAGCAAGAGATTGAAGATACAGATTGTGTCTCCTTGATATATTCTAGGACATCTCCTTAGGAAGTCAGGTGAGTGGGCTAGAAGAGATATGTATAAAAAGAAATAGGGAGGAAGTATAAAGTTTGCATTCTTTCATAGGCTTTATAATATCTTTATTGAATTATAGCTAAAATGTGTGACCTAATCACAAGTCGATTAAAGAGTTCAAAGGCTTCATTTAAATAAATTTCTTGATAGAAGAGGACTCTGAAAGCAATGATAGCAATTATAGTTTCTGTTTGTTAACAAGTACTCATATACCCTTTTCATGTGAGAAAAATGACCATTCTAACCCAGCTGATAGTGTGCTGATTCTGATTCTTCCCTTTTTTTCTTATTAGCTCCCATTCATGACCAACAGCATATATTTGTGAAGTGGTTGGCCTGATTAAGGGACAGTCAGAATTAGAAGTCAAGTTTCTGGAATATTATGGGGTTTATCCCCCTCTTTTTAAGGTAAAAAGGAAATACGGGCAGGAAGTCCTGTTTAGGAATTTAAGATATTTGCACCTGGACTTAGTATATACAGATATAAAAGCCCATTTTAAAAATGGATAAATTTTGAAAGGAAATATTTCATTATATTCTTTTAATACAACTTTATTTGTTTAGCTTGCTAATTTGCCTATGAGAGTTTGATTGAGCTAGCCAGCTTTAATGTCTCATATTTGCAATGAAGTTACTTTAAAGCTTTTTTTATACAGAGAAGGCTGATTACTTTTATAAATGCTCAAGTCTCAGTAGTCACAAGTCCTAGTAGGTATCTCAGAGGGCTTATTTCAGACTTGTTTCCTAGCCTCTGTGATAGATCCTTAACAGTGTGCTCTGTAATATTGGCAATCTTTTAAACGTGAAAAACGAAAATCTTTGAGTTATTTATAGTCTTTGAATTCGCATGGGAATTGTCTTCCTCTTCAGTGAGCAGTATCACGATCCATGATTAAATTGTGTAATCATCCTACAAAGTTGTTTATTGTACATATACTAAATATAAATAGCTGATAACTGAAATTTCAATATTTCCGCTTCCACTTGTAATTGGTGTCCTTCTCTGTGTATAGGTGTCGTTTCAGCCAGATGTTGCATCCAATTTTTGAGGAAGCTTCCAATGTCATTAAGGAAGAATACCCAAATGAGAATCAAGTAGTGTTTGCTAGAGTTGATTGTGATCAGCACTGTAAGTACCTCAGTAGGAAGTCTGGAAGAAACTGTCCCATCCCTACCTCTCCTACACACCCACACACACCCTTTTTTTTTTTTTTTTTTTTAATGATCCACTTTCAGTGAAGCACAAACCAAAAAGGCTCTAGTGACCTTGGTTAAATTGTTAATATTTAATCTTTGTGTGTTTATAACACTACTTTGCATTTTGCCTGTGGGAAAGTTTTTGTTGTTATTTTTTCCTTTAAATGTATTATGGGTAGCAAGTTGTAATTAGCAATATTTTCTACCAAAGCAGATATCAAAATCGATAAAGTTGAAATACAGTTTCAGAAGAAAAAATTGATTTCTGTTATTCATAAAATCATGAAAAAAGTCCCGTTTATAGTCATTTCAAATAAGATAATCTCAGATTTTTTGTGTGCTTCTGTTATTTAAAAGGTTCTCCTAAGATTGGCCTAGACGATCTTTGAGGTGTAATTAGCTCTGGTTACTAATTATAATTACTGAGAATATTAAAAAACTTACGTTAAACTTAAAATTCAACTTCTTGGATTTTGCTTATCCCAGTTGAACATTCTTTATAAAATCCTCATGTTTTCTGCGTACTTAACAGATGTCTCCAGTGTGAGCTAGTGCACTGGCCGTGGTGTTTCCTCCTGAGTGCCCCGTTACTCTTGGACTTTCCTCTTTTATAGTACCAAGCTCATTGTATTTGGTACTTGTAGATCGTTGTGTATTGGTTGTCTGACCAGCTACATTGTCAACTTTTCAAGGGCAGGGCCTTTTTTTTTTTTTTTTAAATGCTTGGTTTTAAGTGAGCATTTAAAAAATGCCTAAGCAAACCACTTATTAATCTCTGTAGTTTGAGCATCTGACATAGTTTCTGGGAGAGAGAGACTTCTCATTAAAAGCTTGTTGCATTGCGTTATTGGTAAGTTGGTCTGAATATAGAAACTCTCTCCTATTCTGCAAGTTTTCTATCCTGTACACTTAACCTACCAGTTAGAATTTGTGTGTGTGTGTGAGAGAGAGAGAGAGAGAGAGAGAGAGAAACTAACTTTTCATTTTACTGATGAGAAAATAGAAATAAAGTGACTTAACCAACATCACACAGCTTAATGTGTAGTCAAGCCAGAATCAGAATCCAGATCTCCTGACCTAAATGCCGTTACAGACCTATTTGCTTCTCTTCTGTTCAGTTCAACAAGCATTTTGGAATTTACTCATACAGCTTACTAGGCAGAAACAACTACTGGCAAAGCATTTCAAAGTCACACAAGCCATATTGCTACACTTCTGTCTGCTGAGATTCATAGCTATATAGGGTGAAGTGAGCAATAACAGGTTGTCAGTTCAAGCATGGACTGCATTTCCACACTGCTTTCTGGATCTTTCCTCCCACCTTTCACCCACAGAGAGAGAACATGATATTTTTGGTGTGGGCTCTCATTTCAAATCTTTCCGTTCTGTGTTTAATTAGGCATTACAGTGTAGACGATAGTCCTTACTTTCACTGAATTTGGACCATAAAAATTGAATTAATGCTCTCAAGCTTAGAGTCATTGGAAAGAAAAATTGATATTTATACGATTGAACTGTAAACATGGTTTATTCTGTCTTTTAAACAGATTAACTTACTTTGAGATAAATCTGACATCATTACTAGCAATCAGGTTCTTTTTTTATGGGAGCAAATAGCCATAGTTTAGATGCCTTTTGATCCATCAGAGAGATCTACAAAGTTAGTAGCTACTAATGAAAGTTTTATCTCAGACATTGTGTATTCTCTCTGAATATTTTTTCCTTTCTGTATAATTCTTCACTTTTAAAAAATGATATTATGAAATCTCTATTGATGATTTATTCACATTTTCCTCTGTCTTTAGAGATTGTTGTAAGACAGACCATACTTTTTGGTAAGCCCTTATGTGCCAGTTAGACTGCAGAGATTTTAACCTGAAAGAACCTTAAGAATCCTATAATCTGGAAAGAAATACCTGTTAGGCAAGTTCTTCTTTGGTGAGATTTCGTATAGTGGCTTTTGTTTGTTTTTTGTGGTGAAAATATACATAACAAAACATATGCCCATCTCAGCAATTTCTACATGTACAGTCAGTGACATTGATTACAGTCTTCAAGTTGTGTAACCATTTTCACTGTCCTTCTCTAAATCAAGGAGCCCTGGTGTTACAGTGGTTAAAGCACTCTGCTGTCAACCTAAGGTAAGTGGTTTGAACCCACCAGCTGCTCAGCGAGAGAAAGATGTGATAGTCTGCTTCCGTACAGATTATAGCCTTGGAAGCCCTATGGACAGTTCTACTCTGTCCTGTAGGGGTGCCATGAGTTGGAATGTACTCGACGGCAATGGGTTGGGTTTGGTTTATATATATATAAACCATATATAATTTATAGTATTAGGTTTTACATATAGGCCTATGATCCATTTGGAGTTAATTTTTATATGTGGTAAAAGTTCATTCTTTGCAGTAGTTAAGAGCTCAGCTGCTTACCAAAAGTCAGCAGTTCGAATCCACCAGCTGCTCCTTGGAAACCCTGTGGGGCAGTTCTACTGTGTCCTGTAGGGTTGCTATGAATCAAAATTGACTTGACGATAACAGGTTTTTTTTTAATCAAGCTATTCCAGCATCATTTGTTGAAAACACCATCCTTTTTTCACTAACTGCCTTTGCATGTTCTTCAAAATCAGTTGGTCAAATATGTGTAGGTTTACTTCTGGTCTCTATTCTGTTTTGTTGATTTATTTTGTCTTTCTTTACATCAAATCACACTCTCTAGATAACTGTAGCTTTATACAGTTACGTCTTGAAGTTAGGTAGTATAAATCTCCCAACTTTGTACTTTGTTTTTATGAAGTCTTTTAATTATTCTACTTGCTTTGGGTTTCCATATGACTTTTAGAAACAGCTTGTTAATTTCAAACAGCAACAGCAACAACAAAAAGCCTGCTGGGATTTTAATTGGGATTGCTTTGAATCCTTCAACCAATTTGTGGAAAATTGTCATCTTAATAATACTGAGTTTTCCAGTCCGTGAACATTGTATATTTCCCCACTTATTTAGGTCCTCTTCAGTTTCCCTCACTAATGTTTGGTGGTTTTTAATCTACATGTGTTTGTCAGATTTATCCCTAAGTATTCCTTATTTTTGATACCATTATAAATATTTTTTTAAATAACCTTTTTATTTTGGAATAACTGTAGATATATAGAAAAGTTGGAAAGATAATAGCATTTTCTTTTGCCTCTTACCATTTCCTCTAATATTAACATCTTACATTTTTTAAAACTTAGAAACTAACACTGGGTTTATCTGATATTTTTGGTTGGGTCTTGCACATCTTTTATTTCTTATTTTTTGACGCTATTGTAAGTGGCATTGATTTTTTTAATTTCAATTTTTGATTGTTTATTGCTAGTATATAGAAATACAATTGATTTTTGTATATTGATCTTGTATGCTGCTGCTTATTAGTTCTTACAGGTTTTCTGTAGATTTCATAGTATTTTCTAATTAAGTAATATGTTATATGCAAATAAAGACAGTTTTACTTTTTCCTTTCCAGTGTGGCTACCTTTTCTTTTTTGTGCCTTATTAGACTTGCTAGAGCCTCTACTACAATGTTGAATAGAAGTTAATTCATGCAAAGTGCTTAGAACAGTAATTGCTACATAACCAAAAAACAAAACCCATTGCGTCAATTCTGACTCATAGCTACTCTACAGGACAGAGTAGAACTGCCCTATAAGGTTTCCAAGGCTGTCATCTTCACGGAAGCAGACTGCCACATTTTTCTCCCGAGGAGCGGCTGGTGCGTCCAAACTGCTGACTTTTCAGTTAGCAGCTGAGCACTTAACCACTGCACCACCAGGGCTCCTTAATTGGTACATAGTAAGTGCTTAATAAATCGTAGCTTATTATTATTATTTTCCAGATTGTCCATTTTTACTCACCAGCGATTTTGTTATTTTTGTGGTTTTCTCATCACAGGACTTCACCTCTTTTTTCTCTTGATTCTTCCAGCCTAAATTATGTATTTGTGTGGTCTGTCTTAATTTCCTTATGGCATTTTTTCCAGCTAAGTGTACCTACTTGTTTCTTCAGGATTAGCTTCTGTTAGGCATAGGAAGCTTCCTAGCAAGAGTAGAAGTGGTCTCAGAATCAAGATACCATCCTGCCCACATACGTATCATTCTTAGTAATCACCTGTCTAATATTGTGGCAGCCTCTTTTGTCCTGCTCTCTAGGATATTAGTCTGTCTGCTTTGCTTCTGATTCACAGCTTCACTGAGACCTTCCATTCAAAGTAATGTTATGTTTTGGAAAAGTTCCTGTAGAAAGTTTCTAGTCAAATCACCTGGAAAAAAACCACTGTTTATTGAGTGCTTACTGGGATTTAGGCATACTTCTACATGTATTGTTCTGGTTATCTTTATCATAACCCCTTGATTTAGATAGTATTGTTCATTCATTAAACAAAATTTTTTAGTGCTGCTTTATGTAGTACACTGGGTTAGGTCCTAGAGATATGACAGTGAACCAAACACACTCCGGAAGGCAAGGGAAGTAAACACATAATTGTACATTGTGATAACTGTTCTGAAGGGAAGATATTGGGTGCTATGAGATAATATTAGTCTAACCTAGTCTGGGGTGGGGGGGTTAGGGAAGTCGTCTCTGAGGGAATGATCCAAGACTGGAAGGAAGAGTTGTAATTATTAAGGGACATATGAGAAGAAAAATGTTTCAGGCAGAAAAAGGAGTAAGTGTGAAGTTTCTGAGGTGGGAAAGAACATTGGGCTTTCAGAGAGCTGGAGTATATTATCATCATTTTATAGATGAAGATGCTGAGGGACTTAGAAAGACTGAGTGATTTACCAAGGTTACATAGTAAATGGAAAGAGCTAGAACTGTACCCAGGAGTATACAGCTTTTACCAGGTAACTACTGTTTTGTAAGTTAAAATAGTGTTATTTAAATGGGGTTTTGTCATAA